TATCTTTAAACTGTTGCAGTACTTGCACCCTTGAAGTGCACATGACAGCACATACTAGCAAGCTACTAAACAACCAAAATGAACATTCATGCTCAGAAACGATTCATTTTTTTTTGCCAGAAAGGGTCTGCCCTGCAAATTTTAGAAAATGCAGCTGACCCCAAGAATCTTCTTGAACAAAAAGGACTCTCTCTAAAGCAGGGTTAATGGAATCCTTACTATTAGATCCACGAATGCCAAGCTTGTCCTCAGGCTTCCCATTAGTGATTCCACCAAAAGCTCTTTCCACAATGAAAGCAGTGATTTTGTCTTTTACTGTGCCATCCTTGTCAACAATCTCAGTTCTTGCTAATACAGTAAAGATATCTGCAATGCCACCATTTGAGATCCATATCTGCAATTAAAAGAAAAAGGTACTTGTTCTATTTGAAAAGGAATAATAATATCTGGTGTAATACTAGCAATTAGGCTTATTCAAGGTTCTGTCTAAGCCAGGCGCATGTGGGCGTGCGTCTTTGCCTCCCTCTGCGCGGCTTTCTTCCTCCTCTGTGCAGCTACCATGTTCAATCCCTTAGGTTCCAGTCACAATGGAACCCTGCGTATGGATGTGCAGCGTCGTGTGTGCACACAGGAGCAAAGTTGCGTGCACAAGAGGAGCTGACAATTAGAGCTTATACAGTGGTGCCTCGCTTAACGAGCACTTTGTTTAACGACAAATTTCCTTAGCGATGGCTTTTTCGGAGCGATCTTGGGGTGGGTTTAACGATGTTGCCTATGGGCGATTTTTGCATAGCGATGTTTGGGACCATGCTTGGCATAGCAATGACTGTTTGGGTCCCAGTTTCGCTTAATGATGGTTTTGACAGCCTCATGTTGGCTGTTTTTTATATGTTTAAAAATGTTTAGAATGCTTGAAATCATAAGTGCACTTAATAAACCCTTTGTTAAACTAATTTGACTTTGTTCTGACTCTTTTTAAATTTGTTGTAATTTTTTCCCCATTCAGATGCATTGAATAAGTTTCAATGCATTTCAATTGGGGAACCGCGTTTCACTTAGTGATGTTTCCTATGGCGATTTTCGCTTAAGGACGGCAATCCGTTCCCATTGGAGCGGATTATCCAGTTTTCAATGCATTTCTATGGGAAACCACGTTTCGATTAGCGATGTTTTCCCATAGCGATTTTTTTTGAACCAATTAAAATCATTAAGCGAGGCACCACTGTACTTTGAGCTTACTCTAAACAGATCTGCTGATGAATGCCAGGTAACCAATTAAAATTGTTAAACGAGGCACCATTGTACTTTGAGCTTATTCTAAACAGATCTGCTGATGAATGCCAGGTCAGTTTAGAAGACGGCTCTCTCTAAGGTGCGTGACTCTGCTCCCCCGCCCCCGTGCAGCCTTTCTCATCCAGTTTAGGCCCTCAATAGCTGGCAGGGTGCCTTCTTCTGCCCAGTTCTAACAGTATCACCCACTCCAGTCAGGCTGAGGGGCCTAACGCCAAGAGAGGCTTGGTGGGAAAAAACTAAAAATCAGGCCTTCTTGGTAGTGGCGCCACGCCTCTGGAACAACTTACCTGTAGAGATCCGCCTGGCTCCCTTGCTGAGGGCCTTCAAGATTAGCTTGAAGACATGGCTATACATGCAGGCCTTCTCTACAGCCATTACCCAGCCTATCTTCTTTTTCCTTTTCTCTCTTTCTCTTTTTCCTTTCCCCATCTTGGACTTTGTGATTAATTTGGATTTTACCTCAGTTTATTTTTATGTTATATGTAAACCACCCAGAGAGACACATTCTAGATGGGCTGTATATAAATCAATCAATCAATCAATCAATCTGTGCCCTGACAGCAATAATTTTCAGTTCCTTTGGTTCCAGCTGCGAGCAAGGCTGAAAATTAGAGGGAATGTTCACCTTATTATGAGCTTATTGAGGACATGAGAGCCATTCTGGCCTGTATAACTGAGACCTGGGTGGGTGCAGATGGAGAATTAGCTCTCTCCCAGCTGTGCCCATGTGGGTATTCCATCCGGCATCAGGGCAAATGATCCGAAGGTGAGGGTGGGGTCACCATGGTTTATAGGGATCCAGTTCGTGTCAGCAGGACCTCCACGTTGCCAATACTAGGTTTAGAGTGTCTTTGCCTTACATTGGGGCAGAGGGAAAATTTGCGCTGGCACTGGCATACCATTCTCCCCATGATTCAGCACACTCCTTACCACGACTGCCAGAGTTTGTCTCAGCAATGATGTTGACGTCCTCCAGCTTTTGTTGCTGGGGGACGTCAACATCCGCCCTGAGGTGGAGCTCTCCGGTGCAACCCTGGAATTCATGAATCTATCCCAACATGTTACACCACACACAGAGTAGACCACACTGGATCTGGTGTTTTTGTTACCATGGGTAGGGCTTCTGTGGCTTCTACCCTCTGTCCTGATTGGGTCATTTCCTGCTAAAATTTAACCTGGCCTCGATGACCTGCACCCCTGACCCCTACAGAGAGACTGGACCAGTTAAAATCATCTGCCCTCGGAGGCTTCCCTTTTTCGTTTCTACAGGTTTTCGAGAGGTATTTAATAGTACCCTGTATCTTTGGATCATTCCTTTACAACAGTTCAGCCACACTGCACTACATAACTGAAAAAAATTAGACTTCCACACTTGGGGAAGATTAAACATCTGAAAACATTAGTAAACAAACAACGTCCTCAGACATATAATGTTTTCTTTACTAAACCAGTTTAGGGTTCAAGACAATAAAATAAAAAATAGCAGGCCCTTTAAAATATTTATAGATCGTTTATAGATTTTGGTCACCTAACCTTCCTTTTAAAGGCAAAGGGGGAAAGAATGAAGACATACGGTAAACTCTTATGCATTAAAAAAAGAAGAAATGTACCTTTGAACCATTTAATATATAGCTTTTCCCATCTTCACTCAAAGTGGCCCTGGTTTGGATGGATGCAGCATCACTTCCACTGAAATTATTAATAAATCGAAGAAATTGGAGTTTAGCCGAACGGAGCGTACTTCCAACAGCTCCCTAAAATTGAATGTTCTACATCCCATTTAGATACCAACTGCGCTGAATATTAGAAACCAACTTCTAAAACATGATTTTCTTATATGCTGGTGGAAATAGCAGTTGCTTGGAATGAACTGGACAATACTTGGATATCATCTGATACTGAACACCTGAAACAGAAGTAAAGTAAGATGATGCCTGGCAATGCAAAGCGGAAGCAGAATGTTGTCAAAGTAACTGCTGAATAGTTCAGAGGTGTAGGTCTCTGGCTGTAGAGCTAGAGGCTGGGAGTTCTATTCCTCCCCTGTGCCTCCTTGACAGGGGCTGGACTCAATGATCCATAGGGTCCTTTCCAGCCCTGCAGTTCTAAGATATCTTAATATCCAGATCTTACATTTAGATTAGAATATTTACACACATTTCCTTGTAATTCTTACAACATTCCTGCAAAGCAGTCAAGGAACTCCAAGCCTGAAGGTTCCCTTCACTATCTTTTACTGAGAACCCCTCCCCCCCTTCCAGCCGGGCTCTTCCCAAGCTTGTCACAGGGTCAGAAGTGTTGCTGTTCAGCACGACTTTCCAAAGCCTCAGGGCACTGGAATCCACCCGTGGGAAAGCATATGTAGATAGTCATGGCTGCCCAAAGGAGCCAGAGGGCAAAAGTATGCAGGGCAAGACTGGACTGCAGCACCCTAACTCTCCCATCCATGGTGAAGGGGGGTCCACTCACCATGTTTACCTCAAGAGGATGGACCTCACTATGGCAAGTGCAGTTGCTGAACCCTGCAAGGAAGTCAGAATCAACCTGGCCATGCAGAGGATAAGCTTTGTCTTAGCACAGCCAGTAAGTTCATGACAGGAGAAGCAGGTTCCAAACAGGGATTTTCACATTTTCTAATTCAATCCCTCAGGGATTTCCCTTGATCAAAGTCTTTAGGTATTTTGAACTGTAAAAGCCAAGCATGCTACCTTCCTGGTTCAGTGAGACAAAATGCTGCAATGTGCTCCCCAGAAGCCAGTTTAGGTAGATATTTTTTCTTTTGTTCTTCAGTACCTGCAATGAGAATTCCCTGCCAAAAAATAAAAAAGACCATTAACTAATGCAAATCCTAATATTGTGAGGCTTCTAGCTGCAGGTTTAAAACTCAACTGGAAGTCACTGAGTCGGTTTGTACAGGTTTGCTGATCAACATACGTTATGCACACTTTAAAATCAACACACAATGTTGTCACCATGCATCAAGAACCATATGGGTTTTAGCCCTTTCGTATTAAAAAGTGATATTTTCGTAACGCTGCATTTCAAATCTTCCTAATCTGGAACAGAAATGTACACTCTGGTTTTTCCAGGTTGTTTAAGAGGGCTATGAAATGGAATTAGCACACATTGTTCAGCCACAGTTCAACTGTGGACTCTTGTATCCAATACCAGCAAATATAAACTTCCTTCTCCTCTCCCTCCCCTGCAGCCCTCCATGATGCCAAAACATGCTCTCAAAGGTTTCCCAGCTGTCCCAAGTATCTTGGTAAGGCACACAGGAGCTGCAGTAGAGAGAGAAGGTTGCTGATCCTCATTAAAAGAAAAAGATCCAAAGGAAATACAGTGGTGCCTCGCATAACGATGTTAATTGGTTCCAAAAAAACCATCGCTATGGGAAACTGTTATGCGAAACACATTTTCCCATAGAGATGCATTGAAAACCGGTTAATCCGTTCCAATAGGAACGGATTACCATCCTTAAGCGAAAAAACCCATTGGAAACATCGTTATGCAATACAATGTTTCCCCCATTGGAATGCACTGAAGCCTTTTCAATGCTTTTCAATGGTTTAGCAAAGACAATTTTTGCAAATTTAAGGGTGTCATAAAAGGGTCAAAAATGGTTTTAAATGCTTGGAATAGTTTCTGCACCTTCTAAAATGGGTGCAAATGTAATTTGGCTTAGATGTGACTTTTCGTTAATTTATGGTGATTTTTTTTCTCCCCAATAGGAAACAATGGAGCTGTCAAAATTTGGGCTCCATGGATTTCTATGGGGGAGGGAAAAATTCAACCAAAATTAACTAAGAGTCACAACCAAGCCAAGTTTAAGTCTGCACAGGTTTTACAACCTGCACTGACCACCCCAAGCATTTAGAACTTATAACAAATTAAAAAAAGACTCAGAACAAAGTCAAATCAGGATAACAAAGGGTTTATTAAGTGCACATTAAACATCATAAACTTTATAGCATAAGACAACTTTTTAGACTCAGAAATCGAGGTGATTGAACATCTGCATAACTCTTTCAGCAGAGAAACTCTTCTTGCAGTGAAGAAGCATAACATTTCACAACAAACTTTTTTGAAAGTGCATCAGTACAGAAACCCTTCTTGCAGTGAAGAAGCATAACATTTCACAACAAACTTTTTTGAAAGTGCATCAGTACAGAAACCCTTCTTGCAGTGAAGAAGCATAACATTTCACAACAAACTTTTTTGAAAGTGCATCAGTACAGAAACCCTTCTTGCAGTGAAGAAGCATAACATTTCACAACAAACTTTTTTGAAAGTGCATCAGTACAGAGATTCTGGCCTTCTTTAGAGCACTATTTAAAAAGGGTCTGAAAGGTCTTTATTAAGGCTTATCAAAAATTCTTCAACAAACAAAAACGGTTAATACCTATTAAACCTTTCAGGTTAGCAGAGCTATCATCTTCTGCAGATTTGCACTCAAATAATTTATTTGTATTACTGTATTTTTCATTTAATGCTAAGAAATGTTTCATCTCTGACATCTGTCTATATGAAATCTTCAGGTGGTTAAAGCTCAGGGATCTATTATTATTTACTACTACTACTACTACTACTACTACTACTACTACTACTACTACTACTACTACTACTACTACTACCACCACCACCACCACCACCACTA